AGGTACTTCTCCTGTCTCCCATGGGGTGCAGGGCCCAAGCACTTGGGCCATCCTCCACTGCACTCCCTGGCCACAGCAGAGAGCTGGCCTGGAAGAGGGGCAACCGGGACAGAATCCGGCGCCCCGACCGGGACTGGAACCTGGTGTGCCGGCGTCGCAAGGTGGAGGATTAGCCTAGTGAGCCGCGGCGCTGGCCAAGAATCAGCAGTATGATTTCAAAGACCCTGCAGTAGCCCTCAAACAAGAATAGGATTCCCAGCAACAGTGAAAGTTTTATAATACAAGTTACAGATGTAAATTGCTACTTTGACTCTGACATGCTAGGCTAATACAGAAAAAAGCAGATGGCTATAAAACCCACTGGAGGGGCCGGCACTGAGGGTCAAGCTGCTGCCTGCAGTGCGGGCATTCCATATGGGTGCTGGTTCAAGTCCTGGCTGCTCCACTTCCAATCCAGCTCCCTGCTAATGCAACTGGGAAGGAAGGCAGTAGAAGATGGTCCAAGTCGGTGGGCCCCTGAACCCACGTGGGAGACTCAAGCTCCTGGCTCCTGACTAGCCCAGCTCCAGCCACTGTGGCCATTTGAGGAGTGAACCAGCGGATGGAAGATCTCTTCCTCTCTCTAACTCTGCCTTTCAATTAAAAAAAAAAAAAACAAAAAACAACTTTACACCAAAGTAGAAAACTTTAAAAAAAAAAGATTTTTTTATTTATTTATTTGAAAGTCAGAGTTACACAGAGAGAGGAGAGGCAGAGGGAGAGAGGCCTTCCCTCTGATGGTTCACTCCCCAATTGGCAGCAATGGCCAGGGCTGTGCCGATCTGAAGCCAGGAGACAGGAGCTTCTTCCAGGTCTTCCACGTGGGTGCAGGACTTGGGCCATCTTCTCCTGCTTTCCCAGGCCATTGCAGAGAACTGGATTGGAAGTGGAGCAGCCGGGTCTCGAACCAGTGCCCATATGGGGTGCCAGCGCTTCAGGCCAGGGTGTTAGCCCACTGAGCCACAGCGCTGGCCCCAAAAACTAACTCTTCAGTAAAGACAAAAAGTAACAAAAACAAAAATACTTTCATCCTGCAGATTTAAAACTGAAATTAAAATCACTTCTGAAACAAACTATACTCTGCCTCACAATTAATACACCTCTTTTTTTCTATAGTTAAACAAAAAGCAGTGCAGCCTAATACACGAAGACCTAACTCTTAAGTAGTTTAAACAGGGTTAATATGGAGTCCTTGCAGGGACTACAATGCTAAGAAGATCCCGGCCAAGGAGATTCCCATTCAGTCCGAGCACATCTTCAAGTTCCCCCACCGCCTAAACTCCACTGTTTTGATCCCTGCCACCCCTGATGCAGTGTTTAGCTATGATTTTTAAAAATATCTTTAGAAAAAAAGTCAGAGCTAGAAGGACAGAGTTCGATCTTCCACCTGTTGGTTCACGCCCCAGATGGCCACAACAGCTAGGGTTGAGCCAGGCCAAAGCCAGGAGCTTCTTCCAAGTCTCCCACATGGGTACCAGGGGCCCAAGCACTTGGGCCATCTTCTGCTGCTTTTCCCAGGCCATAAGCAGGGAGCTGGATTAGAAGCGGAGCAGCCGGGACACAAACCGGGATGCCGGCATCACAGGCAGTGGCTTTACCCACTACGCCATGACGCTGGCCCCCAAAAATATACCTTAGAAGCAAACAACATTTAACACTTATTATATATGTATCCTACAGTAACTGAAAAGCTTCAGATGCATCTTTAAAAAAAAAAAAAGACTCTAAGAGCTAAGTTAGATGTAGCATGGGACTAGCATCAATACAAATTACTTTAAGGTTTCTCTTCCTGTCTATAAATTGACTACTAAACAAACTTCACTGCTACAACCTCTCTTTAAAACACTTATTTATTTGAAAGAGGGGGGGTGGGGGTGGGGGAGGATATGGAACTTCCATCTGTTGGTTCATTCCCCAAATGGGTACAGCAGCCAGGTCTGGGCCAGGCTGAAAGCAGAAGCCTGGAACTCCAACCTGGTCTTCCACATGGGTGGCAGGGGCCAAGCACTTGGGCCACCCTCAGCTGCCTTCACATGCGCATGAGTGGGAAACTGAATCACAAGTGGAGAAGCTGGGACTTGAACTCAGTCACAAGTGGCATCACAACGTTGTGCCTTTTAAGAACTGTCCAGAAACATCAGACCCTCTGCTACCTCTGTGATATCACCTGCTCCGGCAACACTGGCCTCCTTGCTGTTTTGTGAGCATGATGGGAACGCTCTAAGAGGGTCTCTGTACTGAGCTTTGTCCAGGCCACAGCTTTTCCTCAGCCACATGGCTTGCTCTACTGTCCCCTGAGGCCTTGGATCGGATGCCTTTCCTGATCAACCCACAGAGAACAGTCCCAGCATAACACTCTCCACTGGCTTTAGGGACTTCACTTTTCCCCACAGCACTTGTTACTATAGGATACATTTCACTCTACTGGTCTCCCCAGAGAAGCCAGGCCACCTTCCATACTGTTCTTTGCTATGCTGCAAGTAGTGAGGAGTGCCTGGCTGGTCCTGATTTGAATAAATGGTTATGCAGTCCCTCTGGATCCCTGAGGTTTCAGTTCCTGCCCCCAATACCAAAATCCACGGCTGCTCAAGTCCCTAATATAAGAGGGCGTAGTGCTTACACACAACTTATGCATACTTTCCAGTATACGTTAAACCATCTCTGGATTACTTATAATTACAACGTAAATGCTGGGTACATAACTGAACACTACTGTTCAGAGAATGACAAGAAGAAACATCTCGGACAAGTTCAGTACTGACACAAGACTTTCTTCCCAAATATTTCCCCCCTTGGTTGAACTCAGGGATGGTAAACTTGAGGCTCTGAACAGCCAGCTGTATGCAGTCAAGCATATGGAAAGGCAGGACAATCAGTGTCTCCAAAGCTGACAAGCCAGAAATGCTCTGATGCATCTACTCAATTCTGAAGCGGTTTCCACGCAGGAACCAGATGGACACGACTTTGCTGCCAGCTGGTATGAAAGAGCTAACTTCAAAAAAGCCATGCAAGCCTCTCAACAACCAAAGCCAAGGTTACTTTTCTACATATTTACACTCCAACTCTGCAGGCTGTCCACTGGTGACACTTCCTCCTCCTCCTTTAGGGATGCCCTAGGGAGGAGAGGAGGAAGAGTGGATAAAGAAGGCACAGAAGAGCAAAAGAAATGGGGGAAAAGGCTCAAATTCTCTACAACCCAAGCAATGTTTTAAGCATTAGTTTTTGACTAGTCAAACATGAAGCATTGAAAATTATATTTTCTGTGTCCTGCACAGGTTATACCAGGAAGTCTCCTGTGTTAAAAATCAAAGTGTGCAGTAGAGCTACACCTGTGGAGAGAGTCTTGGACTTGTTCTCACTGTTGTCTGTGCCCCGACAGGTGTGTCCAGAAGGGAACCAGGATATCCTCACAGGTTATACCCTGGTGGAAATCTGATGTTTCACTGCACATAGGAAATACATGCGACCCTGCTCTCCTCCATCCCCAAATGCCTCGGCACTCCAGGAGACACAAACGTTAGTGGAGACGCTGCACACGGCTTGGCTTTCCTTCCGTATTTATCACCTCTTAGGCATTAACAGATGATGGAATTAACGAGCATCCCCTTGAACCTCTGGTTGTGTGTGCCATCTCCCTCAACCCTCCCAAGAACCAGCACCACCGCTGTCCTATCCCAGGCTAAGCTTCTGGAAGGTGACACGACCTGGGCAAGCCCACGAAATGGAGGGCCGGGTCTGCTCTGACCCTAAACCCTCGGGTCCCCGATCCTGAAGCCCCACCGCTAGGATACTCCGTCCTCCAGGAAGAACGCACTGAAAACAGCAACACCAGAATCGCTCGAGTTTCACCCGTGTGTGTTCCGGACGGACCGTCACGCTCGCGTCTAACCCACACATCTTTTCCTGTTGGCAGTAGCAAGACCATTTCGTTTGCATGATGGCAACAGCGTGGTCTCCCTGAGCACAAGCCGTCGGGAAAGGACGCGGGCACCCGGGCCTGAGAGCTCTCCAGCTAGGACTCTAATCGTCTACCCAACGCAGCACCACGTGTCCCTGTGGGTGTGCGGGAGCCCGAGTTCTTTTCCTACCCCTTCACAGGGAGGGCGGGCGGGGCAGGGGGTGCGGAACGCAATTCACAACACGCCTTTGTTCCTTTCCTTGCGCCAAGTCTCCGAGAGCTCAGCCCAGGCGCAGCTTTGCGGGCTGAAGCCAAACCCCAGGACCCCTGGGGCTCTGTCAAGGATCCCTGCAGGCGGCGCAGGTCTAAACTTTTTACAGCCCCTGGAGAGCAGACGCCTCTGCCCACGGGGATCGCCCGGGCTCCCTTCCTCACGACAAAGGGAACGGGGAGCAAGGGCGGAAGGGGCGCGTTCGCTTTCCAGAAGCCGGCCGGCTGCCCCGCGCGGCGCCTCCCTCCTTGGCTCCCCCAAACGCTGCCGGGGAAGGCGGGATTCCCGTCCCTCCCCTCGAGACCCGGGACGCTAAACCTCGCGGGCGCACTCACCGTCGTTCTCGTCGCTGTGCCGCCGCCGCGACATGCCGCCGGCCAGTGAGCCCTGAGCCGAGACGCCGGGCGGGAAGCGCCGCACGAACCGTCGGGCCGCCGGCCGGCGCGAGAACAGCGGCGAGGCGCGCGGACCGGCCGGCGCGCAGGCGCACTCGCTCTAGACGGCTCCCGGAAGCGCACGGAGGCGAGGCCGCCGGGTGGACCCCGCGGAGCCGGCGTCCAGAGCCTCTCGGGCGTTTGGTTGGCGCGCAACCGCCCCCTCGAGCCTCCTCCGCCTGCCAGGTGCTTCCTTCTCCCGCCTTCCGCTTTGGGTCCTTCCGGGCCAAGCAGAAAAAGCCGCCGCGTCAGCCAGCCAGAGCCCGGCGGCCGCGGGCCAGACTCGGAGGCGTGGTGGTTGAAGGAGGCCGCTCTAGCAGCCACCCGCGGGAGGCCTCTCAGTGGTTTTCCCGGCGGCCCTTGCGCTCACGGCCGCGAAGACTTCCGGAGCGGGGTGACGTCCCGAGAGGCCTTTCCTACGCACCACGCGGCGGGGTCTGTAGGGTCGAGGGCGGTGCGTGGTGACCTTTGCCCGGCGGAGGCACCGGGTGGAGAAGGAGCTAAGAAAGGAGCAGGACCGGCGGGTACGTGCTCCGCTCCCTCTCCCTGCCACTGCCCGGCTTTTGTGGCCTCGGGGAAGGTGGGCGGGAGGAGGGGCCGGGCGGCGTGCGAGGCGGTGCCGCACGAGCGGGGCCCGGGGACGGGAGGGCGGGCCCTGACGCGGGCCTGCGGGGCTCTGTGTGCGCCGGCCGTCCTCTTACCTCTCCCCTCTGTGAGTTGTCTGAGGAGGAGCGGATGAGGGCCCTGTGGTCGCGCTCTCGATGGTTATTGGATACATCTTTACGTGCACACTGTACGAACGTCTCTGCTGCCTTGGCCGTGGCCATCTGAGATTTCACCCCCCCGGGCTTCACCGGTTCCGCCCTCAGCCTGTAAATGGCACCGTCCGGGGAGCGTGCCAGCTCTACTTTGAAAGAGAATCCAGAATCAGACCTTGTGACGCCTTTGTTTAAACTCCAGTGACTTTCCATTGCAAACCTTCTGTCGTGGTTTGTACAGTTCTGCCCTCATCCACTGTTCTAACTGCTCCTTCCAGTAAATCAAGCCCTTTAACATTTTAGAATCTGTTTCCTCTCCCTGGAAGTCTCCGCTCCTCAGTCTGCAGTTCGGGCTCCTCTGGGCTGAGGTCCCAGCTCAGGCATCAGGTCCTTTGTGCGACCTCCCCTCGTTACCTAACTGCTGTTTTATTTTGTTCTAGAAGTATTGGTAAACATCTAATACCTTCTCTGTGCCAGACACTGAATTAAAAAAAAAAAAAAGATTTATTTACTGAGATCGGTACTGTGGCATAGTGGGTAAAGCTGCCGCCTGCAGTGCTGGCATCCCACATGGACGCCAGTTGGAGTCCCGGTTGCTCCTCTTCCAATCCAGCTCCCTGCTAATGGCCTGGGAACGCAGCACAGGATGGCTCAAGTGCTTAGGCCCCTGCACTCATGTGGGAGACCCGGAAGAAGCTCCTGGCCCCTGGCTCCAGCCTGGCCCAACCCTGGCCATTGTGGCCATTTGGGGGAGTGAATCAGAGGATGGAAGATATCTCTCTCTCTCTCTCTCTGACTCTGCCTTTCAAATAAATAAATCTTTAAAAATAAATAAAAGTAAGAGTTTTGTTTTGCACAGCTGCATTAGAAATTGCAGTTAGCCAAATTGTTGACTGTGTGAATTTGTAGTTCAGGAGAGGGGCTGGGGTTGTAGATAAAATGTGGCGTATGTATTATTCTACACATACATGTTCCTTTATTTCTGTTCATTTCCCCTTTTTTCAATGAAGTTTCAAGTGCTCACAGAAACAGGGAAAATTACGTAATGAGCCCCATGCCCTCATCCCTGGCTCCAGTAATTGCCAACTATGGTTAATCTGGTTTCAGCTGTATTACTTGCCTTCCGCCGTTATTTTGAAGCAAATATAGTTTCTTAAGACCTTGCTTATGGGATGAGACCACCTAGGGAGTGGGTGTAGATAGAGCAGTTCAGCATGTAGAGACAGGACGATGAGGATGCAGCAAAGGGAGGAGAGGCGGTGGCTCTCATCGCGGTCTCATGCTAAGTTTGCTAGCTTAGTTAGTGTCTTCTGCTACTGGAATACAGGAGTTCCACAAGAACAGGGGCTTGGACGTTTCATTCAGAGCTGCATTGCCCATACCTTTTTGGGTGCCATTCTCAGAGCAGACACTCGCCAAAGAAATAGTTCAGGATACATAAAGAATAAAGTATCGTGAGGCCAAAGGCAGGTTTAGAGCGAGGGGCGAGGTTTTGGGGTGGTGGGAAAGGCATGTGTAAAGAACATGGCTTGTTTGTGGAACTGGACGCAATGTGGTGTGGCGAGGGTAGAGTGCACGCTGGGACACTTCGACCTGAGTCTAGGCTGACAGGAACCCAGTGTTTCAGGTCTTCAGAAGGGAGAGTGGCAGCAGCATGGCAGAGAAGACTTGGTGGAAGAGGTGACAGTGGTGGGCATGGTGAGCCTTTGGGGAGGGGAGGGGGTGGAAGAAAGTGGGTAACAAAGCAGCAAAGAGAGAAGCTTTGGCCAGTGTTCTGGGGAGGCGGCTTGGGCATGAGGCGTGACTGCAGGAAGAGGAGCCCTATGTGCAGCCACTCCTCCGGCTGTGCTCCCTCCCAGTGTACTGCCTCTGAAGGCACACTGTGCCTCGAGCAGTGCCTGGCACGTGGAAGGCCCCCACTCGGTCACTGTGGGATGGATTTTAATTGGAAGGTGATGTAAGCATTTTCTCTACAGTAAAACAGCTGCGGGCACAGGAGGGTGTGGGTCTGTTTTCCTTGTGCCTGTAAGGCCTGGAGCCTCAGAGTTAGAGACCTGCTCCTTTCGTTTGAACTTTGAATGAAATACATTTAAGAGGCTGGCACCATGGCTCACTTGGCTAATTCTCCTTCTGTGGCGCCGGCATCCTGGGTTCTAGTCCCGGTTGGGGCTCTGGATTCTGTCCCAGCTGCTCCTCTTCCAGGCCAGCTCTCTGCTGTGGCCCGGGAAGTCAGTGGAGGATGGCCCAAGTGCTTGGGCCCTGCACCCACATGGGAGACTGGGAGGGAGCACCTGGCTCCTGGCTTCGGATCAGCACAGTGCCGGCCGTAGCAGCCATTTAGGGGGTGAACCAATGGAAGGAAGACCTTTCTCTCTGTCTCTCTTTCTAACTCTGCCTGTCAAAAAAAAAAAAAAAAAAAAGACATTTAAGAAAGAAATGAGAGGCATAAAAAATGTAACGCAAGTATTCCTTCAGCCTGTTTCACTCAGTTTTCAAATACAGGTGGGATTTGGGTTCAATAAATTTGTGCCTCCCCTGTAACAGCTTGTTTTGAGTCCAGCGTGGTCACCACATAGCTGATTTGAATGTACCTTATGTGGGGGGTGTGAGTCCTAGGCAGAAAGATCCTCTGTGGAAGAGTTGGTGATGTGTTTCGTCCTCACAAATCCCAGCCAGCACTGTCGGCAAGCAGGGTGTGGTCTCCCCGTGCATACACTGCGTCTCACCTTCACTGAGCGCAGGTTCCCACGGGCAAAGTTGCGATTCCACACCCTTGTCACCTTTTTCCTCATTCTCCGAGGTGACCTCTCTCTCTGCTCCCTCTCTGGAGCCTGGACTTCCCTCCCTTACCATTCTCAGAATCCTGAGTGTCTGGGTCAGGCCCCCTGCTCGAGACTGTTCAAGAGACAAACTTTACTGACCGAACGGCAGGAAATAACCATTTATCGTGCAGTGGGCAGGAACCGCTTGTCTCTGCTCTCAGCTCAAAGGCAGAGGCTGGAACCATGCCAGGGGTCTGTCTGGGGGTAGATGTTGGCTGTCAGCTGTAGGCCTCCGGTCCTCTCCACACGGTTCTCCTGTGTGTGGGCTGGACTCGCAGTAGTGCTTGGTCTCAGCATGAGCATCCCAGAATGAGAGCCAGTGGGAGGAAGTGAAGCCTTCAAAGGCTCAGAAGTCCTGTAACATCTCTTCTGCCATTCTTTATTTTTGGGAGCAGTTACAAGTCTGCCTAGTGTGAGGGAGAGGGCGAATAGGCCAGAAATACTGCTGCGGCCGTGTGTGGAAAATACAGTCTGCACAGCTGGTTCTTAGGGAAATCAATTTCTTATGTCAACTTTGAAATGATCATTAAATTGAAATGTTAATGGTGTTAACCATTCATTGAACCTAATTGGAGTCCTCAAAGATTTCATGGAAAGTGCATGCTATGAAAAATTTTTGCACCAAAATAAACTTATAATTCCATTTTCCATGAATTTTTTGAAATACCCTCATGTGTACGGCCTCTGTGTGCATTCCTTTCTAGTCCTGCAGGGTAGATACTGCCATCCCCAATGCACAGATGAGGCGATTAGAACTCATAGATGCCACCAGAAGCCAGAGCCCTGCTTTTTTCAGTGCTTGGTGTTACCTGTAAGTGGTTTTCACTTGCAACATTTGCTTTATAAGAGAAATAATGTAGTATCTTGACTACATTGTGTCCGTTTTGGTAAGAGTTGGCCACAGTAGCAATTTTGTTATTTCCTCAGGCAGTTAACATGGCACTGCCTCCCTGACTGTTCTAAGGAAGAACGTTCGCCCAGCTCTGCAAACAGGGACAGAAAGAGCCAAGTGCTTAGAACTGCAGGTACCAGCACAGAGCTTGGTGGCTTTGCTCATGGTGCTGTTCTGGTGGCCTTCGCCCTCAGTGTGCACCTGGCTTGCCCCTGAATTCAGGTTTCTGCTCAGGCACTGCTCCCTTTCTCAGAAAGGCTTTTCCTGGCCTCTGTCTAGAGGGTACCTGCATCACTTTCTCCTTACTCTGTTTATTTTTTTCATAATTCTTTTCACCACATGGTTTTTTTAAAAAACCGGTTTGTTTACCTCTCCCCTAAGATGCTTTCTCTCTCATTTACTGCCATGTCCCCAGTGTACAGAACGGTGCTCAACTTTGTTACTCAGTAAATGCTATTGAGTGAACAAGTGAATGTATGGGTAGCTCAGGCTACTGGGCCCGTGCTGGTTTGCTTGGTTGATAACCTTCATGTTTACTTTAAGAAGTAATTAAAGACTGGAATTGCTGTTTCTGCCTGCCTTGTATCCCAGGAGGTGCTTAACTGCGAGGGATCTCGGCCACACTGCTGCCATCAAGCCAGATGCCTTCTTGCACTTCACCAGACCAGGGAGAGGACCTGGAGGCCTGTGTTCTAAGATTTTCTGACCTGGATTTAAAAGATACAAGTCTTAGTAGGCCCAACAGCAGTCTCAAAGCAGAGTTAGATGGCAGTACCAAGAAGAAATACTCATTTGCAAAGAAAAAGGTAACATTTCCACGAGTATTTTGTGGTCAAGGATATATAATTAATGTAGGTGTATAGTTTAGCTGCTTATCAAGACAGCTCTCCAGCTCCAGGTGAAGTGTAGTCAGGGGCATTAACCAGTGCTGGTAAGAGCTGCAGGCAAAGGAGAGTTGTAGGCAAGGTGTGGCACTAGGACAGTTACGGTGGAGTAATTAAGCATAGGTGCTAGACAGAAGGTTGGGAGGCAATCCGGGAACCTGGAAAAGGCATCACACCAAGGCATTCCAATAGAGAATCTTAACCACTAGGCCAGGTGCCAGCCCTCAGCTCAGTCAGCATGTGGACTGCTGAAAACAGCAGAAGGCCAAACTGTGTTACACATACTCCAGTGCTCGAGACTAAAGTTATGGGGCTGGGAGTTGAATCTCATGAAACTCAGTCTTAGTGTCTCTAATAATCTCTTCTAAAGCCAGTAAGAGAACTGTTAGCTGTCTCGGGGAATTTATAGAATGGTAGTAAAAACCTGGAAGCCCCTCTGGAAAGATAACAAGGGAGTTCCTGGAGACTATCGTTAGCTGTGGAGCTCAGGTTATTTATCAGTAATGGTATTTGAAATGTAATTGCAGGCTTTTGCCCTTTTTGTCAAAACCAAAGAAGTTCCAACACGTCCTTTAGGAGATAAAGAAAAACGGTGGCAATGCTGTCAGCACCTGTTCACAGACCGGAGCAGCATCCATAGACACGTGGCAACACAACATGCTGATGAAATGTACCAGCAGACTGCGTCTGTTTTAAAGCAGCTGGCTGTGACCCTGAGCACGTCAAAGAGCCCTACGGCTGCTGACCAACAAAACCGCGTGGAAGGACACCTTCCTCACAGCCATGATGTGTCTGCTTGGCTCCCTGATACAAGCTGCATCAGTGCTAATGAGCTGATAAGGTAAGATTTCTTGTGATTTGACTTTAAAAACACTCCTCCAACCATAGTGAGCTACAGCAGCCCACCACTGAAATGGCTACCTGAGAAGGACTTGCTGCACCAAATGTGGCTATGGGTGTGGAGCAACCAGAACACCTATCGTAGGTGATGGCGATACAGGTGGCACAACCTTTGGGGGTGTTCAGCTGCTGCTTTTTCAAGTTAAACATGCATCTCCCCATGACCTGTTCCCAGGTATATGACCAGCAGTATTAAAAAAAAATGCCAGCCGGCGCCGCAGCTCACTAGGCTAATCCTCCGCCTTGCGGCGCCGGCACACCGGGTTCTAGTCCCGGTCGGGGCGCTGGTTCTGCTCCAGTTGCCCCTCTTCCAGTTTCTCCATCTTGTTTATAGACATCTGTAGTTGTTTCCAGTTTTTTATTATGTATAAAACTCAGTTAAGGTTTCTTTGTGGGCATTTTTTTTTTTTTTTTTTTTTGACAGGCAGAGTGGACAGTGAGAGAGAGAGAGAAAGGTCTTCCTTTTGCCGTTGGTTCACCCTCCAGTGGCCACTGCGGCTGGCGTGCTGCGGCCAGCGCACCGCGCTGATCTGAAGGCAGGAGCCAGGTGCTTTTCCTGGTCTCCCATGGGGTGCAGGGCCCAAGCACTTGGGCCATCCTCCACTGCACTCCCTGGCCACAGCAGAGAGCTGGCCTGGAAGAGGGGCAACCGGGACAGAATCCGGCGCCCCGACCGGGACTGGAACCTGGTGTGCCGGTGCCACAAGGCGGAGGATTAGCCTAGTGAGCCACGGCGCCGGCTGCTCTTGAAAAGCTCACCAAATCTATTACCAAAAACTAGAGGACAGGTTTCTGATTTGAAGCAATTCCTGAACTATGTGCTGGTAAAAGTAGTCCAGATTTGATATATTGCTGTCACTACTACTCAGCACCAAATTCTCTGTTTATCAGAAAGAAAATAAGAGAATTGAACCAAGCATCAGACCTAAGCTAGTCACTAATACTTTTTCTATCTTTTTCTTTACCTCTGAAGTCAGAATAATAATGCCTGGCCCACCTGCCTCCCAATACTGCTGTATGAATTCTGCTGATGATGGTTCAAGCACTTGTGAACTATAGCTATTACACGAATGAATCCATTTTGGTATGGCCCCACACTTAAAGGAATTTGCCTTCTAGTTATATAAGTGCAAGATAAATGAAATGATTAGCCAATGATGTAATTATCAGTTAAATTGTATGGTACAGATAACTTGTTGCAGGGGTTTAGAGAGGAAAATAGAGAACTGCTAAAACTGACGAAATTTCATGGAGGAGACTAGGCCTTGAAACACAGTGAGTATTGATGCGGGAGATGTAGATTTGAGCAGGGTAGGACCTTAATTATCATCTGCCTGAAATATGTTCGGTGGAACCCCAGGGCTGGGGGATGCTAGAGTCAAACAGGGGAAACACTGCATTCAAATGTTTACTGCAGGACTCCCCAGAGCCCTCAGCAGAGTGAAGCGGGGGATAGCATCTGTGGGGTTTCCCAAACATGATTCCCTAGAACAGATTCAGAGCATACCCTGGGAAATGCAGTTTGCTTCAGTTCAGGCTCGTTCAGATGGTAGGAGTCCCTGGCAGCTACTGCCAGCTGTAGGGCACGTACAAAGGAGCTGCTTCTCATTTCAGGAGAACAACTGTAGGAACAAAGGTGGCCGAGTCTGTCCACCTTAACCCTCTGAGAGTACCTGGTGAATTGTGGCTTTCTCATGCCCACCACTCAACTGCTGTTTCCATCTGATTCTCTAGTGGCCAGGGCAGTGATGAAGGGGAGGTGCTTCTCTATTACTGCTACTGTGACCTGGAGGATCCGCACTGGGTGTGTGCCTGGCAGACAGCTCTGTGTCAGCAGCTGCACCTCACGGGCAAGGTAACACCTTCTCCCACTCCCCTGCCTTCCCTGGACTCCGCCTGCTTCCCAACCTTGCACTGCACGGACTGTCCTCATTAAAAGGATTCTCTGTGGGAATCCCTGCTGGGATTTAAGTCGAATATTAAGCAGCCATTTCCATGGTGTTTAATGAGAGCACTTAATGGCACAGTCCAGGTGTCAGCGAACTTTTTCATAAAGAGCCAGGTAGTAAACACCTGTATTTTAGGCTTTGCTCAAAGAAACTAGTACCATACAAAGTATGGGAAAGGATGGACGTGTTTATGTTCCAGTAAAACCATATGCAAAGCAGCCATAATTTGTTGACTCCTGGTATGGGGAAATGCTCATGAGATATTAGTTGGAAAAATGTTTTAGAGGCCAGTGTTGTGGCGCAGTGGGTTAAACTGCTGCCTGTGACACCAGCATCCCATGTAAGACCCAAGTCTTGGCTGCTCCACTTCAGATCCTGCTCCCTGCTACAGATTTTTAAATCTTTTAAAAGATATATTTATTTATTTGAAAGGCATGGTTCCAGAGAAAGAGAAATGGCTATCCACTGGTTCACTTCTCAGATGGCTGCAACAGCCAGGGCTGGGCCAGGCCAAAGCCAGGAGCTTCATCCGAGTCTCCCACGTGGGTGGCAGGGGCCCAAGTACTTGGGTTGTCCAGTGCTTTTCCCAGGCATATTAACAGGTATTAATGGGGAACTGGATCAGACGTGGAGCAGCCGGGACACAAACCAGCACCCTTAGGGGATTCCAGCCTTGCAGGCAGTAGTTTAACATACTATACCACAGTGCTGCCCCCCCCCTTTTTTTTTAATTTAGAAAGAATTCACATAGCATTGGAAATTCCTCATCTGCTGAGTAAGAAAACACAAGAAAGAAGAAAATGGAAGGTTGCATTGAGTACACAAAAAAAGTCTTTCCAGGGTGTCCCGTGGGCCTTTTCCCCTGTTCATCTCCCTTCTCTTAAGTGATGCAGCTATTAACTGCCACTGAAATATGCCCGTTGCAGTTTTGCATTTTGTAAACATTAGGTTCCTAAAGGGTCACGTTCCTATTGATCACAAGGCTTTCACTGTTGCCACATGTTAGTAGCAACAGAGTTAAAAATCCTGAGGGTAGGGGCCAGCATTGTGGCATAGCAGGTTAAGCTGCCAGCACCTGTGACACTGGCTTCCCAGATAAGGGTCACCCTGGTCGTTTGGGGAGTGGCTGGTTCACTCCTTGATTGCTCACTGAGGTGGGCCAGGCCGAAGCCAGAGCCTGTAATTCCACCTTGCTCTCACATGGGGACCCAGAAACTTCATCACCTGCTGCCTCCCAGGGTGAGCATTAGCAGGACGTTGGATCAGAAGCAGAGTGAGGACTTAAACTCAGGCAAGCATCCTCTTAACCACTGAGCGACAATGCCTGCCTCTCTCTCATTGCATCTTCTAATTGTTGGTTTTTTTTTGTTTTGTTTTGTTTTTGACAGGTAGAGTTTTTTAGACAGTGAGAAAGAGAGACAGAGAGAAAGGTCTTCCTTCCATTGGTTCACCCCCCAAATGGCCGCCACTGCTGGTGCTGCACCAATCCAAAGCCAGGAGCCAGGTGCTTCCCCCTGGTCTCCCATGGGGTGCAGGACCCAAGCACTTGGGCCATCCTGCACTGCCCTCCCGGGCCACAGCAGAGAGCTGGACTGGAAGAGGAGCAACCAGGACAGAATCCGGCGCCCATATGGGATGCCGGTGCCACAGGCGGAGGATTAACCAAGTGAGCCATGGCGCCAGCCCCAATCTTCTAATTGTTTTTCAAAGCCATTGTTCATTTTTGACTTTTTTCTTAATGTCTGGCCCCTGTAGTCTATAAGCTCCAAGGGGGAAAGACTTTTTTTAACCAACCTAACACAATTCCTAGTGTTTCGTTTTAAAAATTCATAAATAAATGAGTACATTTATCACCATTTCTATTCAGAGAACATGACACTTTAAAAGATGGAGATTTTCACAGTAAACCTGAGTGTGCAAAACAGGAAGTTAGTGTCTTGGTTGCAAGACTGGCTTAATTTTAACCCAGCTGAGTGGTGAACTGTCAGTTAGGGCTCCTGTCCGCATGGTGGCAGCACCTGCCTGGATACATACCCAGCTGCATGATAGTTTTGTGCTGAGAGAAGCTTTGGTGGAATATTCATGCATAAGTAGGGAATTACAGAGCCTGAAAATTCAGGAGTTATGGAAAGAAACTTCTGTCCTTTTGCCATACGTTCTTATTGCCTCAGGAAATTTGAGGGGATTCTTTAGAGACTTTGGAAAAGAAAAATCACAAGATGTCGGGCCAGTAAGATCTTGTTTTGAACCCTGGATTTACCACCTACCAAGTCTGTGCCCTTGGGCAAGCTACTTGACATCTCTGCACTTCCATGTCCTTTTCTGTAAAGTGAGGATCAAAATATCCACCTTTCAGGATCCTTGTACAAAATTCTGCCTCAAAGCCTAATAAATGCTGACTGCTGTTCTTGACTGCTAGGTGTGAGGCATTCCTCGCAAAGGAGCTTCTTTGAAAGATTTCTGTTGCAGAATGCAGGAGATTGAAAGTGTAATGTGTACGTTTAGTGATTGCTCTGACCTAGCTTGGCAGGTATAGATGTGCTTGCCTTTTTTTTTTTAATTCTGAGGTTAAAATAATTAGGGAAGAGCCTGCTAGCCTGCCCTGAGGCAGTCGCATGTTCTGAGACAGTCACATGGCACTGTGTCCTTCATCCCTAACACCTCCTCAGAGTGGATTTCCTGAGCCTTACGCTGACTCGGCTCTGTTTTTCTCGGTAGGCCCTATCAGTGGTGTGGCTCTTGCAGCGGAGATGGTGCCTGCTTCCTGTAGCCCCTCCTGTGCTCAGAAGAGGCCTCTTTCTCAGGGAGGCTGGGTGTGGTCCAGAATCTGCACCACGGAACTCTGGATAGCCACTGCCAGGGAGTAGGCACTGGCTCCTGAAATGAATCCTGTTTTACACCCATGCCCTAAGGGCCTGCATAGAGTGAGTCGGTAACTCAGTATTTGCCCTGGACCTGGAAAAGGGCAGCTGTTTAAAGTTTTCAAATTCTAATGAATCGATTGGTGGCATTGTTGTATGAGTGCTAGTAGGATGAGATAGTGCCTTGAGTTAAATCACCTCTCTTTCCAGAGGATACTATAACTGATAGCACACAGGGCTGCACTTTCTTTAAAGACCCTGTTCCCATCTTTTGTTCTTTTTAAAGATTTACTTAAAATAAATAAATAAGTCTTTACAAAAAATAAAAATTTATTTATTTATTTGAAAGTCAGAGTTACAGATAGATCTTCCATTCACTGGTTCATTCCCCAAATGACCACAACCAGGGCAGGGGTTGAGGGGGAGGCCAAAGCCAGGAGTCAGAAGCTTCATCCAGGGCTCCCATGTGGCTGCAGCGGCCCAAGGACCTGGGCCATCTTCTGCTGCTTTTCCTAGGCCATTATTAGGGAGCTGGATTGGAAGTGGAGCAGCCGGGGTTTGAGCCTGTGCCCATATGGGATGTCGGTGCTGCAGGTGGAGGCTTAACCCACTATGCCACAGGGTTGGCTCCTAGATGACCCGTCTTTAAAGTATAAAGGATTTGGTAGAACCAAAGCAACCAACCCGCCAGGGCCCCAGAGCATGTCCCTTAAGGCTGGGGCCTTGTCCCAGGCCATAATGTCCCCTGCCCAATGAAAGATCCCAAAAAGAATACAGGATTTGAGAAACCAGAGAGCCCCAGTTGTGAATCCACATTCATTTATTCAACAGATACCTACTGAGTTTCTGTTCTGTGCTAGGCACTGGGGATACGTCGGTGAACAGAATGAGGTGCTCTGGGTCTTATGTTGCAGTAGGAGGTGGTGGGCTTTCCCCAGACACTGCAGAGACAGCCTCACGTGGACTCCCTGTCCCCTAGAATCTTGGTAACGCCGTCTCAGCAAGGCTTCTCATGTTTGGTGCTCTTCTATTCACATTTTAACGAGATGACGAAGTTGATGTTCAGAAAAGTCAACTAACTCGTGGGAACTAAGGAACTAAGTCAGTGGCAGAGCTGAATCCTGATCCTCAGTTGCAGTATCGTGTGACATTGCCTGGATTTAGGTTAAGCTCCAAATTTACTTCTTTGGCCATTGGAGTGCCATAGCAAATGTGCTTTCCAGTAGTTTTATTCAGATCCTTTTGTCCTACACACATTAACCAACTACCTCGGCTGAACTGTGGGCCATGCCACTGTAGAAAAACAAATGTGTCTTTGTCTGGTGGCAGTGTGGTGTCCATAACAGTGACTGAACGTTTCCTGTTAAGCTCATCAACCGCATATGAGCCTCTTGTTCTGTCCTAGAAAGATAATTGCCCTAAAACTCTTAGGCTGTATTCCTTCTGTCTCACCGTCTTGTGTCTCAGGTTCGAATCGCTAAAGAGGGGATCAATGGGACAGTTGGTGGAAGCAAATTGGCCACGAGACTCTATGTGGAAGTCATGCTTTCTTGTCCATTATTTAAGGACTATCTGTGTGAGGATGATTTTAAGGTAAGAGAAAGTAGGGGGAAGGGAAAAGCGTGTAGACTGAGGTGCTGTGGCCTCATGCCGGTTACTGAAAAGGAGGCCCATGCAGACAAGCAGTGCCAGATAAAACCCTTTTCCCCTTGCCATTGCCTTTGCCCGTGTGTTGGCATCACTTTGGTGCCCTCTCTAGACCTCCCCTTACACACTCTGAGGGTTTATAGGTCACACAGTCTAGGACTCAAACTTGGACATGTGTGCTCACTGGAGACCGTCTGTTTCAGTAGGTCACTGGGGTTTCAGGAAACCTCTGAGCGCAGGCTGGAGGACAGCTGGTGCTCTCCTAGCCGAGCTGCCTTGTTGTAGCATCTTTATGCTTCATCGTGGTGAGTGAGAAGGCCAGAGGAAGTGCCTAGTTGATGTCTGCTGGTGAATGGTTACTGCCCCAGAAAGAAAGGGAGTCCTCCAGGACAAAAGCAGGGGCAACGACTGCTCAGTGGTGCTTCGGTTGCACAGTTACTGTTTAGAGCCACGGAAACACCTTTTGACTTAACATTCCTGTGCATGATAGATACGTAATAAATGTCTTTTAACATTGATTTACCTGGAACATGCTGGCCCTACTCTTTTCCCATTGAGGTGTCCTAATTGTTTCCCTCAGTTTGAGGTTTCTTAAGATTTCACCTGTCACCTTATTACAAAAGAGACCATACTTGTTGTATTTGGCACTTGTCTCATACCTGGGATGGAACCAGAACACTGTATGCTGTTTTGTCTCTTATTGGCCAGACCAGCAAAGGAGGAGCTTGCTGTTTCCCAGAACTGCGTGTTGGTGTGTTTGAAGAGATTGTGCCCATGGGGATCAGCCCAGATAAGACCTCCTACAAGAAGCCTGGTATGCTTGCTCTTAGAAGGGGAGTGGTGCTTTTCTTAATAGGAACGACATTTAACAAAGAAGGAAGTTGGACACTGTGATCAGCTAGAATCATGACGACTCTGTCTTCAAAACGAGCCTAAATCGATTCTTCTCTGTGGTGGGATGGGAATTGAGGACTCACCCCTTAGAATGACCCAGCTTAACTCTTCCTGGTAATGATTTGGCAGTAAGTTGTTTTTTCCTTCTAGAGAAGCAATTTGGGAGGAGTGGAATAATTAGTTCTGAACACTTTGTCAGCAGACTAGAGCACATAGGGTTTTTGCTACAGGAAGCAAGTGCCTTTCAACACAAAAGCAGTTTGCAGTGCTCTAGAATGTTCTCTCCTCGTTCCCATTGAAAGACATTTGTTTGGCAAGGTTTTTGTTTTACTTTATTACTATGAATATTTTCAGACATTGAAAGATGCAGAGAAAATAGTAGTGATCTTCCATGTAATTCATGGCAGCTGTCGTCTGCATTTCATCCTGTACTATTTTCAGGGAAATCCTAATGTCATGTTATTTCATTCGTAAGTACTGTAGTAGATATCTTTAAAAGATAAAGTTTTTCTTTTTTTTTTTTTTTAAAGATTGATTTATTTGAAAGACAGAGTTATAGAGAGAAGTCTTCCATCTTCTGGTTCGCTCCCCAAGTGGCCACAGTGGCCAGGGCTGGGCCAGGCCGAAGCCAGGAGGATCCAGGAGCTTCATCTGGGTCTCCCACATGGGTAGAAGGGGCCCTAGCACTTGGGCCATCTTCTGCTGCTTTCACAGGCACATCAGCAGGGAGCTGGATTGGAAATGGAGCATCTGGACTCAAACCCACGTCCATATGGGATGCCAGTGCTGCAGGTGGTGGCTTAACCTGCTACGGTCATAAAGCCAGCCCCTTAAAAGACTAAAATTACTGCATTAAAACATTTTAACAGTAATCCCTTAATACTATCAAATATCTAAATGGACAAATCCCAGTTATCTCATAATTTTTTAAGTTTGTTTTTACTGGTATTCAAGTGAGATCCATTTATTGTGCTTCATCAATATATCTGTTGCCTCCATCTTTTTTTTCTCCTTGAAGTTTATTTTTTAAGGAATTGGGCCATTGGGCTTGTAGAGTTTCCCATCATCCAGATAATGATAATGATTGCTGGATTTAGAGTATTGCCATCTAATAGGAATATTAATGTGAGCCACATAGTACACGTTTATATTTTTTAGTAGCTGTGTTCATCTTTTTTTTTTTTTTTTTTTTGAAAAGTAGAAAAAGAGAAACAGACACAGGGAGGGATCTTCCTTCCTTTGGTTTACTCCCCAAATGCTCGCACAGCCAGAGCTAGACCAGGCCAAAACCAGGAGCCCAGAACTCAACCTGCTCTCCTACCTGCATGGCAGAGTCTCAGATTCTTGAGCCATCACTGCTGCCTCCCAGGGTGTGCATTAGCAGGAAGCTGAATCAGAAGTGGAGGAGCCAAGACTCAAACCAGGCACTCGGGTTTGTCATGTCAGCATCCTAAGCAGCATGTAAAGCGCACCACCAAAACCCACCCTGCTAGTCACATTTTAGAGTAAAAAGTAGGTGAAATTAATTCCATTACATACATACTTCATGCAGCACATGCATTATTTAAAATATTATACATAATTTTTAAGATTATTGACATGTGATCAGAATAGTTATCAGTGAAATGGTGTAGTATTTTTTTTTTCATACTAAGACCTTATAGTCTGGTATGTATGCCACTCTTATAACACAGCTTTGGTCACGTGTCAGGCGCTTATCGGCCACTTGTGGCTACTGTCATGTGAAGACAGCTCTGGACTAGAGACTCGGTCTGATTAGCTTTGATTCCCCCTTTTCTGTTTTTTTATTCCCCAAGACTATTTCATAGGTACTATTGTCTTTCTTTCATCAGGAAACACAAAGGGCTGGTTGACTCAACAATGTAAATATTTAAAAGAAGACTGAGAGTTAAGCCAGAGGCAAATGGAAGTACAGATACAAATAGCTGGGAAGAGAGACTGGGGCATGAGAGATAAGGCCCAGGAAGGCTGTGTCTGCTTAGTGTCCCCACCTTGGCAGGAGGTGCTGCTGCAGACAGCTGCCTGGGTGCTGCAGGCCACAGTCAGTTCAGGGACAGAGCAGGCTCCAGGCTCCAGAGCAGGTCACAGACAGTTTAGGGACAGAGCAGGCTCCAGGCAGTGTCGGGCTGCCTGCATCTGAGCCAGCTTATGTAGAGGGGCCTCATGGGATATGTACCTGTCTGTTCAGGCCTTGTCAGGGCCAGGAGAGCAACAGCCAGAGTAGCAGCAGCAGGGCACAGGTTTGGTTGCCTGCAAGTAGAAATCTTGATGGATTTCTACACCTCTCAGCACATTTGTGAACCTCCGTTCTTGCCCTGTTTTGGTGTCTATGTAATTATGTAATAATAACTTACATAGAATCTGGCCTTATTCCCTTCTCCCTGCAATCCTAGCTTGGGCCAGTAAAAATCCAGACTCCTTGGCCATGCATGCCTTGAGGCCTCTAGGCCATCCTGGTTATGGGACAGTTTGGGGAGGTTGTGGGGTTCGTCTTGAATGGAATGCTGCAGAGCTCTGTCACCAGTGGTGGGCGACTGTGTCACTAGAGCCTCCGCCCGTGGCAAGTACACCGCAAGTTCCTCTCAGTTACTGAGATGTCTGGACGCCCAAAGATACGGGACTGCGTTTACCCTGGTGAGCCGAGAGGCAGAGGGCTTACAGACTGAAAGGCTCTCCTTTTCAAATGCTGCCTTCCTCATCTCCTTCATCCTGTAACTTTGCTGTCTCACCTGTCTTTCTCGTATCATTTCTGTGGTCAACCTCTCACCCTTTTCCCTTTTACTCATGCAAACAAACTTAGACACATTCTTCCCACCCTTTTGCATTTTTTAAAAACATACTCCAACCTAATTCCACTGCTTTATTCTCTTTTTTTTTATAATATGACTTTATTGTTAAATGTTATCTTTTTTGAGCCGGCGCCGTGGCTCAATAGGCTAATCCTCCACCTAGCAGCGCCGGCACACCGGGTTCTATTCCTGGTCGGGGCGCCTTATTCTGTCCTGGTTGCCCCTTTTCCAGGCCAGCTCTTTCCTATGGCCCGGGAGTGCAGTGGAGGATGGCCCAAGTGCTTGGGCCCTGCACCCGATGGGAGACCAGGAGAAGCACCTGGCTCTTGGCTTCGGATCAGCGCGATGCGCTGGCCGCAGCGCGCCGGCTGCGGCGGCCATTGGAGGGTGAACCATGGCAAAAGGAAGACCTTCCTTTCTCTCTCTCTCTCTCACTGTCCACTCTGCCTGTTAAAAAATAAAAAAATAAAAAATAAATTAAAAAAAGGAAGACCTTTCTCTCTGTCTCTCTCTCTCTCACTGTCCACTCTGCCTGTAAAAAAAAAAAAGTTATCTTTTTTATTTTGTTTATTTTTTTAAAAGATTTATTTTTATTTATTTGAAAGATGGAGTTACAGAGAGAGTCAGAGACACAGAGAGAGTGAGGTCTTCCAACCACTGCTTCATTCCCCAGGTGGCTGCAATGGCTGGAGCTGTGCCAATCCAAAGACAGGAGCCAGGAGCTTCTTCCGGGTCTCCCACGTGGGTGCAGGGGCCCAAGGACTTGGGCCATCCTCCACTGCTATCCCAGGCCATAGCAAAGAGCCGAATTGGAAGAGGAACAGCTGGGACTCGAACCGGAGCCAATATGGATGCCGGCACTTCAGGCCAGGGCGTTAACCCGCTGCGCCACAGCGCCGCCCCTCCACTGCTTTATTCTCACATACCCCTTGCCAGGGTTCTTGGCATTGGTTTAGAAGAGTTTACAAAGCCTGTGGTCAGTACAGGCAAGCCCCACACTCTTCCTGTCTGATCACAGTGGAACAGTGACCATACAAGGGACCGGCAAACCTGTGTGGCAGTTTGCTCACAATTATCTGATTGATATCACCAGGGTTAGGCCAAATGGGAAGGTGCAGAATTCTTTGATTATTTCTAAACTGCCAGGTGTCTCCCTGGAATTATTAAATTATTTCATAATCATCAAATAATATTCTTTCCAGAGAATTATAATTGTGAAAAGATTTGGATGGAAATAAACAATACATAAGTTAGACCAGGGTAGTTATGATTAGGATTTTTGTTTAAGCTAATTTTTTGCTTTGGTTTTAGGAATCCATTTATCTCCAAGTGAATTTCATAAAGAAGTAGAAAAGTTTTTATCTCAGGCCAATCAGGAACAAAGTGATACTATTCTACTAGATTGCAGAAACTTCTATGAAAGCAAAATAGTAAGTAAGAACCAGAATTGAGTTCATTGAAACGGGAGTGGGAGGGGATGCTGTGTGTGCCGGTACATACGTGGCCTTGAGGTTCTCCCTCTAGTGCTAGCGGCTTCAGAAGAAACCCAACATTTTAAGTCAGGCTCTGGTGAGAAAATCTTAAGGAGATCGGGATCAGAGACGCCTGTGAGCCTACCCTTGTTGTGTGTCGGATCTTGTGAAGTTGGTTCTGAGCCGCCTCCCCGTCCTGAGGACTCTGTGAGAACGTGACCCCCAGTCCACCAGCCTTGTTTGCACATTGCAGATCTTGAAGTTTAAAGGTCGGAATGGGATAGGAGCAGCAACTACCAGGGCTGCTGTACTGTGCCGGGGCTGTTCGGCACAGAAGGAGCCTTTGTTCCTGGCAGGCCCAGGTCCTGACAGTTTTCTGTCTGCCATTCCTCTTGTAGGGACGGTTCCAGGGCTGCCTAGCCCCAGACATCAGGAAATTCAGCTATTTCCCTGACTATGTCGACAAAAATCTGGATGTTTTCAGAGAGAAGAAGGTGCTGATGTACTGCACTGGGGGCATCCGTTGTGAGCGGGGTTCAGCCTACCTCAAAGCCAAGGTGAGCCACACCCTAAGGGCACCATGGCATGGAAGTGAGAATGCCCTACAAACAGCCCAGGGTTGGTGTCCACCCCTCACTTCCACCCCACCCCCCCACACTCCCAGCCAAAGGATTTCTTTTCCCCTTGTGTGGTTTAGTACATACATTTACAAGGACAAAATCTGAGGTTCTTGAATCTCAAGATGTGAAAAGCACTTAACAGTCTTTGAGACTCATAGAGTCCAAAAGGGAAAGATTAGTTAACATCGCCCTTTTCTTAATCCTTTTGCTTGATCCTGAGAAGAGCAAACTAGTACATGCCCCAACAGGTGCCGCCCTATATTTAGGGGGCAGGAAAAATAGTTGAGCTTCCCAGGACCTAGGAGTGAAGGCCCACACGGCTGTCACCACCCGTCCCGCTCCGAGCCACTGTCTGGCCAGCTGCTTCCTTGACCCTTTGGTCAGCGGTTCCTCCGTGTCCTGCAGAGGGAGCCAGGAGCCCCGGCTGATAGCGGAGGGAGTCCTCTTGCTACTCTGTGGAGCTTCTTACAGCTCTCTGCTTGTGTCTTCAGATCCGCTGTTCTTTTTCCACACCTAGGGAGTGTGTAAAGAAGTGTTCCAGCTCAAGGGTGGCATCCACAAGTATCTGGAAGAGTTTCCTGATGGTTTTTACAAAGGGAAGTTGTTTGTTTTTGATGACCGTTACGCCCTGTGCTACAACAGTGACGTGGTGTCAGGTGGGTCTGCACGTTCTCAGCTTCCTGTTCCAGAGAGTTCCAGAGAAGCACCACAGGGGAAAGAGGTTCCCAGCCCTGTGTTCCCACCAGTTGGTGATGTAGCAGTGAGGCAGGCAGAACCCTGGAGCAGGAGTGGGGCCTGTGTTGGGGTCCTGGCCTGTTAATACAAGACACATACCTCACTATATCAGATTTTTTTTTTAGCTTGATAATTGTATTTCTGTGTCACTGGTGCCCTTTGTAACCCTGTGCCTTTTTTCATACCTTTGAAAACGTGTCTTTGCCAGACTGCTGAGTAAGCCCGTGTAGTCTGAAGAGGCCCCTGCTGTGGGTGCTCTGTGAACACAGGGTGTGCACATCTGAGGGGGGCCAGCGTGCCAGCAGGAGAGCTAACCTAGGGCACGTGCTGTGGCGGCAGTGTTGGGCACAAGTAGACTTGAGAGAGTGTACCGGGGGAACACTGGCAGTACTTGGTGGGCACACCTGCCTGTGAGCGGGAAGGAGTGGACAGCCCTGTGATGGCTGATTGAAGCCAGGTGAGACGACTTGGGGACAACTGATGTTCTCAGAGCTGCCAGGAAGTCAGCAGGGAAAACCAGCCTGAGGAAGGAGAGAACAGGAGTGTTCGAAGTCAGATGGCCGGTGTCCTAGCAACAGCAGGAGCGACTCGGCCCTGGGCAGAGGAGTGTGGCGTGGGCTGCACAAGCTGAATGTGTGTCTGGGGTGGTGGGGATTCAGGAGTGTCGTCCTCACTGGGAAAGGGGATGGGTTAAGGGAAAGAGGCCGTTTAGCAGTGGGTGGCTTGGAAAGCCAATGAGAAACTTCACTAGCTGGTTTTCAGATGGGAAAGAATGGGCAGGGAACACTGGACTCAGCTCCCCAGAGCAAAAAAATCAGGGGTGCCGTTCTTGTTGGAAGACAGACTTACTACATAGAAAGCTTCCCTGAGCCCAGCAGGATCTGTTCCATGCTGGTGCGCTTAGAGGCACAGGCCAGCAGGAACCGGAGAAGAGTGTGTGTGTGTGTGTGTGTGTGTGTGTGTGTGTTTGTGTAAGTGTAACGAGGCTTTTCTCTCCTCCCAGAATGTTCATACTGTGGAGCCCCCTGGGACCAATATAAACTCTGCTCCACTACACAGTGTCGCCAGCTCGTGTTGACCTGCCCTGCCTGTCAAGGACGAGGATTCACAGCCTGTTGTGTCACGTGTCAAGACAAAGGGGGCAGGCAGGCCCCAGGCTCCACCCAGCACAGCTTTAAGGAGGAATGCGAGTGCACAGCCCGGCGGCCGCGCATACCGAGGGAACGCATGGCAGGCGTGCCTCCCTGTGGGCCATGCTCATAGCCGTGGCCCCTGGGCGTTTTCCCAAGCCTTCACAACAGCTCACCACGTATAGCAGAACGTCAGGCTACAGAAGCAGACAAGTTGGCAAGTTCGCTCCTGGCCAGTGCCACCGTGGCATACTGGTTGCCATATTGGCCACCTATACTTCTCAGGGTAGAGAGAGGGACTGAAGGGCTGACTGCCTGCTTACCCGAAACACTGTGACTCCTACTATGCCAGAGCACAGAACAAGGTGAGCTGCTGGATCCCCAAGCTGCTGCTAGTGCAGGCCCGAGCCTGGTGACCATGTCCTGCCCCGTCTCTGCCATGCAGGAGGGCTGGGTCAGTCACTGGCCTTGTCAACAAACCTGTCCATCCTGGTGGCAAAAATGGGAAAGCTGTGGCCCCAGGAGTGACTCCTAAACCAGGCCTGTTGGTTCACCTGCCATCAACACTCCCGCCTCACCTGTCTCTTCTGACAGAGGATTTGCAAGCTGGCATTTGGCCCATCTCCTACTTTTGTAAATAAAGTTGGTTGGAATAGTCTTGCCCATTCCTTTACATTTGACCTGTGGCCAAACTGAACAGTTATGCCAGAGACCACGTGGGCCCACAGAGTCAAGGGTATTTACCATCTGATCCTTTAAAGAAAAGCTACCAAGTCCAGGTGTAGACACCCGGCCTGGGGACACTGGCATTTGGGCAGTTTCAGTCTCCACCTGGGATATGAGACACATTGCAGGTCATTCAGCACTGCCGTGACGGCTGGCCAGCCTACCACACAGGTCCCAAGGAACACACACAGCCGGCCGTAGACCAACAGATTTAATGTTATGTTGTAGTTTCCAGTGATGCCAAATGCAGCTGCAATTGTGTTTCAGGGAGAAGCCAAGTGGGGCTGGCTGTCCCCGCAGCCTGGTGCCACTCCTGGGCCCCTGTGCAGCCCCAGTAGATGCTGTCCCGTGGTGGTGGGGCCTGGCCTCACCTCCAGTTACCCTGTCCCATCGGTGTCCTTGGAGTTCAGTGTGCAAGACTTTTCTGTCTCCATCTGAAGCCTCTTAACTCTGCTCATCTGCTCTCTGGCCTCGTCCTTTGGAAGATTCACTGAATCGCTAATGAAAGTAACTCCCCAAAGCAACAACAGAGTACTAGTTAACTGGCACTGTGGTGTCAAAAGGCACAAGGGCACTGTGGCTTAACTTTTTTTTTTTTTTTTGCTGGATCCCAAGAGATGCACATTATGTGTAAAAGGGATCTGGCAGGGGCAGTTTGGCCAGGATTGCCTGATTCTTTAACATCTGGATTTTCATCACTGCCATCCTCCAGAGGTTTAAGTTGCTGGCACGTGGTCAGTGGTGATCAGTCTAAAAAGGGATGAGACAGTTAAGTCTGGGCTCGGCCGTGCTACGCTGCAAAGTGTCCCTCAGGGTGTTGCCTCCCTTAGGCCACTGGCCCACTGTGCACTAGAGAAAGGTGGTCTCCAGTGCTTGGTGCGGCTTCTCCCCCCTGGATAAGGTGACATTCAGTAGGGAAAGAGTCCTGACTCCAGTGCGGAGTTGAAAATCATCCCACATGTTCATGAAGAACACTGTGGGGTAGGTTTGTTGCCTGGCACTGGTCAGGACAGGGTGGTTTCTGAAACTTGAGTTTCCATTGGCCTTTCCTGTCATCTCTTCACACCCAGCAAAAGGAATCTCACGCTCCCGGCAGAGCTCTGGCTTCAGTCTTTCTTGAGGGGAGAATTGTGTTTTGATTCAGTATCAATTTGGCAATTCTAACCTTGACGTTCTTAAAATTTAAAGGAGAGTTAATAAAGAACGATTATCTGTTCAGTTTGCTAAGATCAAACTTGTAATAAAGGATTTTTTTTTTTATCATACGCTAAACCAAGTAGAAGAGTGTGCTGTTCACGTGTTACGTGGCTCACGTGCACCTGAAGCGCCACACAGCAAGGCCACCTGGCTCCTGGGGTTAAGTCACTGCCACCGTCGGGCCCTCTTCAGTAAGATCTGCCGGTCTGAGAGCTTCTCCATTTTTAAATAATAGCTAGACTGAACTTCTGTGACTAAATAAAGACTTCACATTAACCATATTTTATAAAGTTTTCCACTACAACCACTAGTTAACCTAAAACCTTAGTGCATGAAGAACTGAATCACGGTAGGCTCTGTGCTGCCATTTGCCTTCTGGTCTCCACGGCAGCGCACAGCCGGGCAGCAAAACGTGTCCAGTTGAAAGGCGGGGTCTGCGCCTCCACGCACTAGACACCGCTGCGGCACCTGGGAATGATGGGCCCGGTCAAGTCGGCGAGTCTCCTCTTCCTCACTGGAAAGGAATGAGAGAAGATGTAAGCTGGCTGAGCCTGCAGACAGGAGCCACCGCCATCTAGGCCAGGCACCGCGAGGCTGCTCGCTGATGTCGTCAGCAACTTCGAAGCCTCTGGTTTTTAAAGGACTGTTTTAAGCCCTCTGGTTCATCAGCACTTGGTGACAAGGGTCTGTGGCAATGTAGACCCGTTCGTAAATTCCTTCTAAGTGGGCAGACGCACAGGCCCACTTCACTCAGCTCATCTTTTCCCTCAGCCTGCAGAGGTCCCGTAGCTGAAGATCTTTACTGTGGTCAGGTAAGAGCTAGGATCCGTTGCTCTTAACGACACTAGTGTCTTGACCTGTGAAGCCATTTCTCCAGCTCTCCAGGAGCACCCCCTCCCCCCGTGGCCACCTGTCTACATAAACAATGCATCCCCCAATGCGTAACCTTGATGTTTTCCCAGGGACAAGGCAATTTATGCTTAAACACTGTTCATGAATCAGAGTAGCGAAATGCCATAAAGAGGAAGGCAGTAGCCAGGAAGTCAGGGGCCAGAGAGGTAAGGAGGTCCTTTGCTTGTAACAGGGGAAGTGCTCTGAAATGCATTATGGTGTGTGCAAGCCAGATCAGCCACAAGGCAAAGGGGTCAGAAAGCCTGGAGCCGGAAGGTGGCAGTAAGGGCCCTGCTGGTGTGGCAGAGACAGGAAGCCATTGCTCGGCGAAACAAGTCTGTCTGCACTTAGATGTCGTCCAGTTCCCGAGCTGAGATGGTAGACGGTAGGCAGGCGGCTGCAGATCGATGTGCGTGAGCTGCAGCCAGAACCCAGGGGAAGCTGGGGGACGTTCTCAGGGGCTCACAGGTCACTGTTGTGGGGTTAGAGTTCAGTCTGTTCCTGAGCCCCTACCTCCACCCCTGGGTCAAAGAATAATGAATGCAGATCTAGGCGTGTCATCTCCGATTCCTGGAAAAATGGAAGTCAAGACAGCTCGGAGGAGGATGTGCAGGAACTCCTCCCAGAAGAGCAGAACTTCGCCCCAAGTGACCAGAGTGCCCATGAGAGCCTTTTAAGCCTCCCCGCGTTAGCTATGCAGCCATGCCCTGGCCTCGCGGGAGCCTTGCGGGAGCCCCTCCAGTGATTCTAGGATGTTGGTGCTGCCACCAGTCCCAGCATGGCAGAGAGTCCATTCATTGCTTACGGCAGTAAAGCAAGTGCCCGTGACATGTCTGTACTCTCACCGCGGCACCTTCCTGTGTGCAGCCTGGCCTCGGCCATGGGGGGCTCACATCACTGTACCTCACCTAGTCCTTACAGCCTTTCTGTGGAGGAGAGGAGAGAGCCATGGTCTCAGAGCTAGTGGCGAGAGCCAGGACTGAAACCCAGGTCCTCAGCCTGCGGCTGGTGGGACAGGCAGGGACCCCGCGTGTTTTTTCCTCAGTACACACTGGGCTGAGTGTGTGCACAGTACTATGTGGGGAGAAAGGGAAGGCAGCCATGGGACCAGCTGTTCGTTCTTCCCGTTTTAGTGGTGAAGGAAGTGCAATCAAGAGGGGAAAGTAACTTGCCCCAAGTTAGGATAAAGAAGCGACAGAACTGGGAGTAAGAGCCAGGTGTCCCGGCGTTCAGTCTGCTGTTTATTGTTGCTGCAGCCAGAGACTTGTCTGTTGTCAGCCAGAGGAATCCCGAGCCGCCTGGCCTGGCCTCACTCTGCTACCTGAACCCCCGTACCACTGCCCGTCGAGTGGACCGTCGTGTCTTCGGGAAAGCACTTCTGTCATGTATTCAACAGCATTTATGGAGGGCGCTCGTGAGAGCACAAGAACCAAAAATAAAGTCAAACAGGAAAGCAAGTTACACAGACTGCACATGTGCCGAACTGTAGCAGGTCCCCCGGCAGGGCTCCCCGAAGTGGCCAGCTCGTCCTGGGCTGGGCAGGCACGGTGAGAGGGGAAATGGCCTTTATAGGCAAGCTTGGTCCTGGGTCGCTGGAACTACCTGCAATGGGTGGTACATCGTGGCAAGGGGCCAGCTTGCCCGGGGACGTTGACAGGCACCTGGCAGAACCACTTCCAGATGACCATCATGCACACAGGATGGGACCAGCTCTTGGTGTGAACAGTGTAGGCTGTACAGCCAGGCTGCTGGTTCGAATCCCAGTTCTGCCTGTGGGCTGTGGGCACTTCTGCTGGCATCTCTAGACCTCTGTGCCCGTACTATAGGATGGGGGAACAGCAGCACTCCCTCCCCCAGTGTGAGGAGGGTGACGGGAATAGATCAGAGTGACGTGGCCAGAATGGCATGGACACACACTATGTGCTGTGTAAGTATCAGCTACCGCTACCAAGGGACCTGGAGACCGCGGAGAAGCTGAACTTGAGAGCACCTGCAGCCAGAACGGGCGCTGAGCAGAGCGGAGTGGAGACAAGCATTGGGATGAGCTGGCGAGGTGCCCACCCAGCTGGGGGGCCTGGGGAGCGCAGTGGGTGCCTAGCATGAGATTGGGTGCTGGGCCTGGCAGGAAGGTGCTGGCTGGGGTCAGGGTGGCCCCCACATTTCTGGCTTGGATGGCTGTGAGGAAGTCCAGTGTCTCTTTTTGAGATGGTTTTGGGGGATCCAGAAGTTTCACTTCTGGACAAATGCCCAGATTTGAAATGCGTTTGTCAGAGTTGTCTGTACCCCTGTGTGCACTGCAGCATAGTTTACTATCATCACGATGCAGCATCAACCAGCATGTCCCTCAGCAGGCGAGTGGGTAAAGACAATGTGGTAGATACACACATGCGGAATGCTATTTGCCTTAAAAAGAAGGGAATCTGGGGCCGGTGTTGTGGCGAAGCAGGTTTAGCTGCCACCTGTGACCCCAGCATGCATATGGGTGCCCATTTGTGTGCCAGCTGTTCTTCCAATCCAGTTCCCTGCTAATGGCCTGGAAAAAGCAGATAGCCAAGTGTTTGGGGTCCCTGCCACCCACATGGGAGACATGGATGCAGCTCCTGGCTTTGGCCTGGCCCAGCCCTGGCTGTTGTGGCCATCTGGGGAGTGAACCAGCAGATGGAAAAATCTGTCTCATTCTGTCTCCCTCTAACTCCTAAAAAATCTGTCATTTTGCAACATCATGGGTGGAGCTGGGGAACATAGTGGGTGCAAGGAGCCAGGCACAGAAAAACAAAAGCCACGTGTTCTCACTCGTGTGAAGCCAAAAACTGCACTGTCAGAAGCAAAGCAGAAAGGTGGTG